TCCGATGAATTTTTTACAGTTTGTGAACGTTTTCAATTTTTTACTCAAGGAATCTATATTTGAAGCAGTATTTCGATACTTTTATGAAGTTCTGTTATAAATATTTTCGTATTTAGCTATACAAAAAAAAAATAAAGCACTCCCGCAGCAGTTTTAGTGCATTCTTAGAAATTTCTCGTAGAAAATAGTTGAAGAGCAATTTATTTAATTGTTATTTTTATCATATTTAAACAAAGCAATCAAATAACCATAAATACAATTATATTCAAACTGTTAACTGTTAGGAAAACCTATTATTAATTGTTTTCAAAACCATTGGCCTCTGTCCTGACTTTGAAAAATCTTATAATTTTCTAAATATAAAATTAAGGGTGCCAGAGAGACTCGTATTTATGAAAATATCGTCCTGTTTTTGTGAAAATATGAGAATGAGATCCCGATTTTTGAAAATATGGGAATAGTTTTCTGTTTTAGGAAAAATACGAAAACTATATTTTTCTAAGAGTCGTAGTTTTAAAATTATGAATTAATCATGCTATCGACTTCATTTTTCAAAAAAGGAATTTTGTGAAGAATTTATTATCAAAAATAAAATTATTGCGTTGGATTCGTTTTGTTTTTTAACATCACCTGTTTTGTGCGCGATCGATTTTACGATAAAAAAAGTTAGTGAAGTATATGTAAACGGATCCAAATTTCTAAATTGATCTCTGATATCGGCTGAACCTAAGGAATGTGATCATTCAAATATTTCAATTTGCATATTAATCGTGGAAAGTGCATTGAAACACCATTTCGTAGTTTTCTCACCTTTTACCTAAGAAAACTACGAAAAATACTACGAAACTGCAGTAGGATTTGTTATAGGTCGGTAGCAAATTTTAGTCTGTAACAAAATCGAGTTGGTGAATTTTCAATTAAAGTATTAAAGTTCCATCACATTAAGTACAATTTATTTCTCAATTTTAAAGTAAAAATGTGTAAAACAGTTTGATGCGTTAAAGCAAATTATTTGATTCTCTCCGTGTTTCATGATCTAAAATTAAAAGACATTTAATGAGTTACTCATGCACAGGAAATGTGGGTAAAAAAAAATCTTTTAAATCATTTTTCGACAAGGAAGCTATATAATCGTTGAGTTCATATTGGTTTTTACTTCCTTATTTAAGTCTTGGGAGTGAGGCTAAAGTGCTGGGCGTGTGCCGGTCGTCAACACACACTTAGGAACAAAATAAGAGTGAGTACTTTTCCTCATGTCATTATACTTAATGACATATCTGTTTTTTTAAAAAGGAAAGTACCATGACTGGGGATTATTAGTATCTTTCAAGAAACCGGAGTATAAACACTGTGGGATATTTATATTACAAATTGCAGAATCATGTAAGTTAGTATTAGTTATGGATCTTTACTTTGATAATTTCTTCGATTTGTGTTTGTAAGTATAACAAAATTTGGTCTAATTTCAGATTTATTTTGAACTTTTAAGTTTTAACGTTCGATAAATTTTTAATGTTAGTTTATTTCTATGATTTATGATAAAACTTAATTTTTTTTGTAAACTTTTATTCCGTTACAGCATTTTGAGACAATCCGTTGGAAACATTGGGTAAAATTTTATCTTTTAAAAAAAATGTTTTATGATTTTTTTTTGTATGTCTTTAAAAAACTTTTGTCTTTGGAAAAATATATTTGGTTTTACAATCGCTTGTCGGAAATCTTAATTACAATGAAAAATTTGAAAAAAGAAAAGAAATTTGATGCAAGTAACTTTTTTCAACAGTTTTATTGCAAATGAATATCTTATTATTTGGGTCCAATGGATTTTGTTTCAAAAACAAAATTTAAGAATATTCTGCAATATCTAAAAATTAAAATTTATCATTTTTTTTTGCCGTAGTTTAAAAAGATGTTAAATAATAATAATAAAATTCAAATTATTAAAACGTTGAGTTTTTTTATTACATTAAATAATTTACTTTCTTTTAAGTTGCATATTTCTTAAGTAAAAATCGCATTTTTCGCTATTTAATTCGCATCATTAGCCCTGTATATGAAATGTGATAAAAAAAAAAATGCGAACTAAATTTAAAAATGAAAGCAAAGTTTGTACTAAGTTAAATCGTTAAAAGCTAACTGTATACGATTTCATAAATAATTTATTGTAATTTAAAAATTACATTTAATTTTGTTTCGACACAGAGTTTAATAACTTGAAAAATGAAATACATAATACTAGATAAAAGCTTAAAAAGTTGAAATTATTTTCAAACTTGCTTTTTTTTTAAGTCTAAATTACTATTGCTTCATAGAACTAAGTTTATCTCAAAAGTTTAATGAATATTTTCTATTTTTATTTCAAAATAATATCTATTTTAAAAATACAAGCATATTCTATAGGTTGTATTTCGTAATTTCGAAATTAAATTATTTTACTGAATGAACTATAGGAATAAGCATTTGAAAAGGGTAAAATGACTACAATATCAATTATGATTAATTACTATTGCTAAATATTTAATAATATTTAAAATATCAGAATTTGTGCTACACTCTATGATAGAATTGTTATAGAAATGCTAAATTACTAATTGTTATTAAAATTGCTAAGTTAAATTAAATTTGCATTTCAGTAATTGCATTCTGCGTATAACCCATTAATCTTTAGCGATCTATAATTAGACTGATATGTGACATTTACGAAGAGATAATTGACGTTTTAAAAGACGCCATTAATGTGAAATGAATTAAACGTTTCACACAATCATATGAAGACGTTAAATTTAATAGCCAAGAAACTCTGTCGCGAGTCCTTTTTATATAAATATATACAAAAATTTACTTTATAGCAGCTACATTTTAGAAAATAATAATTATGAAGTACTGATAAACTATGTGTCTGATGTTTATCTAATGGTTTATTGGTTGTAATGGCTTTTTTGGTTTTTTGAATTTTCGATTGATTTCATTTGGACATTGTTTTTTTCCACAAAACAGCACATTTTAACACGATTATGATATTGCCCAGTCTTTGTATTACAATTTTTCCTTCAAATTAACTTTTACAACTTTTTTAAAACTTTATCTATTCGAGTTCAATTTTAATATTCTATGTTATACATTCAAATCTATTCGAGTCACGTAAAAATGTGTGCAGTTTCGTAACATTGTTTAGTAGCTGGCTCTTCCAACCAGCTACTAAATGTGCAATGATTTTTTATTTTAAAAAAGGTAGTTTGTGAATTAAGAAAGCAGCTGAAGGGGAAGGAGCATATCAGCAATGCTTTCGTATGACGAAATTTTCATTGTTGGAAAAAAAAAAGAAAGATAAGAATCCCCTGCAAAACTAATTAATAATAAGGATGAAGATTATTTTTTGTAAACAAAAAGTTTTTTGTTTGTTTGTTGGGAGAGTTTGTGATTTCGTTATTTTAGCTAAGAGGTGACCAAAATCAGTAAAAAATGTTCTATTTGTATGGCCTCTTTGTAAAAACATAATTTCTTTGTAATCCCCTTTAATTATTTTCACAGTTTCATAAAATTGTTGCAATCATTATGGATTTGATGAATTTTCTGAGAAGTAAATTTTAAGTAAATGTGTTATAAAATTCCAATAAGTTATTTGGAAATGTATTTTATTACACTCAAGCCATTATTACTGAAAAAAAAAAGTTTTATATAAAAATTTATACTAAAAAAAAAATAGTTTAACTTATAAATAATACTGCACTTTTGGTGACCAAAAAAGGAATAATGTTTCATAAAAAATATTTTTTTGGCTTTCTTGTTTCAATTTAAATAAGCTGAACATTTCAGTTTTTTTAAAAAAGAAAATCCTGAATAATGTTTCATCAGAACAACATAGTTTACATGTGGTCCTCTCATGGAAATGAATAAATTTGTGTTGAGGAATTTGTGTTTTATTTGTTACTACTCTGAATACAGAATATTTGAAAAATGTCCTACATTTTACTAAGTGTCAGAATGAACTTTTTTCTAATGATAAAGAATTTGTTTTACTTTCTAATATTTCTATATAATTTCTGATATAAAAATATCAGTCTTTATGTATCATTAAGAACGCATGTTCTTTTAAATCCTAAATCCTATTTACTTATGCTTTGTTTATTAATGGGAAATATGCTTACCTAACAAATGCGTATATAGAAAAAAAAATTCGAATATAAATGCTTATTTCTCTATAATCTGCTGTTTTGTCAAATTCTTTTATTTTTTTTGTTGTCTAATGTTAGGGATATTACTTAAAGAAAAAAAAAAAAACTTTATATTTTTTGTTTAAAAAAAGAAGAAAAAAGCGAATTAGTCATAAAAAATAGTATACATAGTTAGAAAAAAAAATTGTTCAAAATCTTTAAGTCGCTACAATCGACCGAAAGATGTAGTATTTAAGTATACCTCTGTATTTAAACTTTCTATTGTACTTTTATTTACTACATTTGAGGCATTTTTGCACTAATTCCTTAGTAGTAAATTAACTTCAATTTCGTTTATAGTACTGTTAGTTTACTTCAAAGAAAGTGGGGCAAAGCTTTCTAATTTTATTTGCAAATTATGTGAATTACTGTGAAATTTCCTTTTATTTTAACATAGTTACATCTGAAAGCATTGTTCTTAAAAGTTGTGAGTCAAAATTCATGTGTAAATTAGCACTTCTTGCATTGACTCGAACTTAGATGAAATTAGCTTTCGCAGAATTTAAATGTTTTTTCTTAAATTTTGAAGAAAATCGAATTAAAATTGATGCAGTTACAATTCTTGCCATTTTTAAGCATCTCGAAAAGGTAGTTTTATTTATAACTACAAATACAAGTACTTTGTTAACTTGAAATCACAGTTTTTTTTCTTTTTTTTAAGCTCCAATTAATTAATAATTAGACAATTGACCTGATTTCTTTACCAAATTTCTCTCTATGTATATATTACTTTCTGTTGGTGTTTCGCCCGTATTTGGAGATAACAATTTTAATTTTCTCTTCCAGATCAATCTGCATGTGTGTGGATGTTATCTCTCTAGCCGTTCGTAAACTACCCTGTAGATCCGGGCTTTTGTAGACTGCTTAGCATTCAGAAGCTCGTCTCTACAGGTATCTTGCGAACGATGCTGATTGCAGCAGCTGATACACTTTCTCTCTCTCTTCATGCAATGGACACAGCAACAGCTGATACACTCTCTCTCTTCATGCAATGGACACAGCAACCGCAGCAGATGGTTCCCTTTCTCTGAAGAACTTCCGGGAGCAGATGATTTCTTCAACTGCATTCTCTAGAAATATTTAAATCATTAATTTATTGTATTTATCATTAATTTATTCATATACTGAAAAAAAGTTTTTGACTCAGACTCATTTATAAGACAAAATTTTTATAAACATTTTCACTACTATGAAATGTTTATAAAAATTTTCTATAATTTGATTCAGTTATCAAAAATTTTCAGACGTATATCTCAGGCTCTGGAGTTCTCAGACTCTATTATCTCGGGCTCGAATTAAAATTTTTAGGCTCAGACCCCTAATAGTGAGCCTGAACTCATCTCTACCGTCCCACAAACATCTCAGGCTAAGATAATAATTATTCAACTTTTACTGTAAAGTGATATTTGTTTTGTTATAAAATTATAATTATTTTACGGTATTATAGAATAATAATTATTTTGTTGTATAATTATAATTATTTTTTTGTAAAATAAATTTTTTTTTAATTTGTTGTAAAAAAGCAATTATTTTATTTGTCCTCCAATTGAAAATTATTTTGTTATTGAAATATTTTTTAACTTGGATAAGAAATTAGTATTTTAAGCCAGTTTATATTTTTATTTTTTATTATCAAAAGATCCAAACTTTTAAATTGTTCTTTTTTCTAATTGCTTCAAAATTTTAAACAAAATAACTATTATAGTTGTTTTTTTTTAAATATTTATTTCACTGCAAGAAAAATATTCGTTGCAACATACCCTCTGTGAAAAATAAGTATATGTAACAAAACCTTATTTATAAAGTAAGTATAAATTCAACAAAGAAGCTCTTCAGTTCAAATTTCGTTTTAGAAGTACAATTTTAATTTCTAATTTGCAATTTAGAATCACAACTGACATTCAAATGAATATGTCCCGTTTTATTAAAGAGTATTATGCATATTGTATTTGCTACAAGAAGGCAATTTACATAATAATGACAAATACACATTTAAAATTGGTATGATTTGCTTAAATTTATTTCAAGTGAGCTTCTTTAATTTTAAAATCTCTTGTTTTTCTGCATAAATTTCTGACGAGAATGGAATTTGGAGAAAGAATGAAGTAAGAATTTGACTAAACTATGAGAAAACCTGACATTTTCTACGTTTTTTATTTTTTATTTAGGAATATTTTATGGAATAATGCTACACTTGTGTTAATTAGGTTTATCCAAAGTAAAGGTGAGTATTGTGCCCGATTTTAAGCTAATCTATTTCAATCTCGCTAAATTGGGATTTTTTTAAAAGTTAAACAAAGTTTTTCAAAGCTCTTTCGTCAAGAAAAATAAATAAATAAATAAGAAACACAGTTTAACTGCCTTGCAGTTGAAGCAAGGCTATAATTTTAAACTATATATACCATTTTGACTTGGAAGAATTATCTGGGCTTTTAGAACGAACAAATAACTTATATTTTACAAGTTATTAAGCTTTTAAAAATCACCAGTTTCGTGACATATTTCTACCTGGATGAAAGTAACCAAAATCAATGCCTTATTCTCAATTTTTACAAATTTATTATGAGCTTAGATGATGCAGCATTGGAGTAAGTTTTTAAATATTAAAAAATTAGACCACATACGCTCTTCATTTTCTCAAAATTATGACTTTCTTCATATTGACGATTTGCGCCATTTTCAAAACAAACATAGATGGTGTAGTCTAAAGATAGGCTATATTTAATTTAATAGTCAATAATAACTGTTGCTAACTCTCAGCAGTTATGAAAATAGCTTATCGCAGAAACGTAATGAAAAAAAAAAAAAAAATAGTCATAATTTCATGCGACTACAGAGTTTTCGAAAAACAGCCTTAATAACTTTTAAACTATTAAAGACTATTGTTTTTTTTTATTTTTCTTGGCGAAATTGCCTTCGAAAACCTTGTTGCATGGAATTTTAAGAGTACGTTTAGCAATGCCCTCTGGTGCCACCCAACTTCGACAAAATCGACACTCCATTTTGCCACTAGAAGTTCGACATCCCCATAAAATTTTATTATGTTTGTGTTTTTTATTACTGTTATATAGTATAGCAGTTTTTAGTTGTTTTGAATTTACAAATGGGTTTGTCCGACAAGGTAAGTGGATATGAGTCCAAATTATATTTTGTATGATTATTGAACTATTACTCATTACTATTACTCATGATTTATATTACAATTGCCTGTATCTAAATTTTGTTTACATAAAATGAATAAATTATACTCAATTTAATGTGTCTTGATTTATTTATTAAATTTGCTGCGTCACTACCTAACGTAAAATGTATTATCTAATAATTCTTATCATTAATATTCATGCAATTTTATGGGGAGGGGTGATGTTTATATAAATGATATTCAGTTTGACCTGATACTGTTATTAGCGAATTGATATTCCTGCTTTTTTGTGCTAAAAAGATCACATTTTCTAAGAAAATCACAGGCAGAGTTTTAAAAAGTAGATTTGTAGAGTCGAAGGTTTTGGATTTTTGATCTAATATCTTTGTATTTTAATAAATAATTCTAGTAGACATCGCAAAATTTGATAGTTCCAATTATTTAGGAACTGTCTACTGATTATATACATGTTTCAGGAATTTAGTCTTACCCACAGGTTTATCGTTTAACCTCTTTGGGAATTCATAGCTATAGCTCGTTCACCAAGAGTTGGCACCTGGCTCCGCCTACATCACGTGGTATGCGACGATACTATTTCGCTATTTTTGGGAGAAGGTTATGAGCAATCCTGAACAATGTTACTATTTGGCGATCGTTTGGCAAAAATATTTATTTCGCAAACTTTATGTGCATTTTTTTAACAATAAATATTTCATAAATTTGATGATATTTTGCACCATTTTTTATGATATTTCTTTCTTTTGAGTGAATAGTTTGTCCTTTATGAGACATTTCGCTGGGAGAACAGCAGTTTTTAAATTTAAACTATATTTAATTAGCTAGTGTAACAAAAGGTATAATAGCAGATGATAAAGCAAAGTAAGTGACTGAAAAAGAATCCACTTTTTGTGTTTGGCGCAAATTAAGGGTTGTCTCAATTTCAACAACGGAGATGTTTCTTTTCTAACTCCCGCGCTGAAATGAACTCTGCGTCCCAGGAGGCGGAGCCAAGTCTCAACTTCTGGTGAACGAACTATACATGGTTCAGGAATTTAGTCTTACCCACAGGTTTATTGTTTAACCTCTTTGGGAATTCATAGCTACCAACTCTACTAGATTTTCCAGTAGACTACTAGATTTTGCCAGTTTCTTCTGGTCTACTGGTTTAATTAACTGGTTAAATTCCCCTGGTTTTAATACATTTTAGAAAATTCCCTAAAATTGAGTAAGTTTTCCAAAAAAAATCCCTATTGAAATAGAATTTTTGTACAGACTATTGCTTGCTTGAATATTTAAGTAAGTGTTATACGTAATGAAGTGAGCCTCATTTGTAAAATTCAGTTAACTATCTTTGATGAATTAAATGCCTATTACTATTCAAAATAACGAGTAAACATAATACATTGATACGCAATGAACATTTCAAGTTCATTTAATGTTTATTATAACTGGAAAATTTTACAGTTCTTCTATTTTGATGACTATAAAAATCTTTAAAATTCCCAATGGGTAAAATATTTAGTACATTATGCAACAATTATCAGGAAATTTATATTGTTTTGTAAAATCTCCTGGATTTTTTCCTATCCATGTTGACAGCTATGGGAATTAAATCATTCTATGAAAAGGAAACTCGATTAACAATTTTATGATATCAAATTTTTACAATGGGGATATCAAGGGTGATATGCTTGTATGGTGGAGTTTTTTAGTTCCACTCTTTTATGGGATTTTTGCACTTAACAAACTGGATGATGTAGTTATTATTCGACAGCGCAATTCTTTTTGAAAAAGGTGGAGAATAAATGCATCGCCTTATTGATTTAGGAGAAATAACAATTGATTTTTTTAGAATTTCAATGAATTTTTCCTTAAAACTTTAAAGCAATAAAGTTATCCTATTTGTGGTTTTAAGTAAATAGTTTAACACTACATGATTGTTAGTTTTTAGATTTATTAAATTGGATTTTATCACACTACGACTTGTTACAGTACAGTACGGACTTGAATGATCCTAAGAAATTCTTTTAACGTTAATTGCACAATAACAAAACATCAAAAACTTATAATCTCGTACTATTTAAAAACCTTACAAAAACTGTTAGTTGCAGAGTTGTTTTAGTATACTTTAGTCAGAAAAGTGAATAGACAATCTAAAATGGGGTAAAGTAGCTCCTGCTTTTTAATTACTTTGTGGCGTACTTACCACCACGATTATTAAAAATCAATTCACTAGTATATAAGACATACTAACTCGATTTAATCTTGAGGTGCATTTTAATACCTGCGGAAGTGCTATAAACACGCCTACTTCAATGGATGGTACACATTGAAAAGTTGACTTGTTATTTGTGTTTGCGTCTTCGTCTTCCTCTCGCTGTTGCTTCTCAGTCTCATTTACACACAACGGGATCCTGCACACACTCAACTGCTAATCTCAACACGGGAGAAATCACACGCTATAAAAGCTCAAAACTCGGTGAGCTTAATACAGCTCTCACCATAAGCGCTCAAAATCCGGTGAACTTAACACAGCTCTCCCGGACTTTTGCAAATATGGCAACTAGTGGTATCTGATCATCGAATTCTATCCCTGATAAAATTCTGGTGGGGAAGTATTGACGCGTAACTACCACTACAATTATTAAGCATTTTCTATGTATATAAGACATGCTAACTCGTTTCAATCTTAAGTTACCTTTTGATAGATGAATGTTGACATTGTCGATTTCCACTCCCCCCACAACCACTCTGTACCAGCGGTACCAATTTTTTTAGTCCCAATTTTTTTAGGCTATGGAGCACCAAATAATTAACCTTCTTTCGGCGGGACTCCGACTTTATAAATTTTTTTTTTTATTAAAATTATTGTGAGCGTTATAATCTATAGAAGACTATTTTTAAAATATTAATTAGAATAATGAAGATTTTACAACGTATCATTAATAATTTTAAATTACGTCTTATGTCTGACTGTTAAATTTGTAGTACTTTAGCTACATCTAGTCCAGTTATAAATTTGCTTCATATACATAAGCTGAAAATGACTAAAATAAGCCGAATTATGGTTCAATTTGAGATTAAAACTATAAACCTTGAAAAGGAAACATATGACAGAATTTAGTTATTTTTATGATTTAAAAAGCGCGATTGAAAATATTGCAATATTTCATAAATGCTTGTTCTTTTCATAATTTATTCAATATATTTCTATTAGAAATATTATATTTTCTGTCAAAAAATGCTATTTCTATTTTAATGAAATAATTTCATAAAGGCGACGGAAAAATTAAATAAATTTTGAATTATAAGTCTTATTTAAAT